GCTTGCCAAAAAGAATAATTTCACAGGGAGTTTGGTCCCCTTACTATCTTTCAACCAAGTATATTTTTCAACAATAATTACTCCAGTTACTTTTAGCTGCAAATGATGGACTATAGCTTTAATAGATAAACATTTTTTGTCATGTACGTGAACTCGCTTGACCTTTAATTCCAGGTCTACTATAAGGCCAAAGATTGGTGAATATAAAATACAGATAGAATCCTAAAAAATAACAAACCAAATTTCTTCCAAACAATTTTACAGGATTATGATAAAACCTAGTATGAACTTGGAACCCGGTACGAAAATGTTAACAATTTTGTGATGTCATCATGACGTCACCAGGTATTTAAAGGCGAAATTTGACAAAATAGTTTCAGCTATATCTTTTGAACCAAATAAAGTATTATGTTCACTTTTTTTGTGAGGTTGTAGCAGATGCCTTGAGCAACATTTCTTATTCCTGGGCACAAAACTGACCTTTACTTCCGGTGTTACCGGAAGTGCAGTAGAAATTGAATTTAATTTTAAAACGGAAGCATTTCACTGCAGCCAAATCATTATGGAAGTGTTAATTGAGGAATGCCCAACTTGAAAAATAAAGGGCGCCCTCTAAGCGGCATGCAAAAGAATGTGTTTTTTTTTTATTATTATTTTGAAATCAGAGGTCTTTTGTTTTTAGCAAAGTGCCCATTAATATTCTTCAGACAATAAGTTGTCTTTGTTTCAGGAGAATTCTGAAATGCCTTATTTTTTTAGTGAAAAACCCAAATGTACTTTTTGAACTCGTGGTGATATGATCTCTGCTGCAATAATATCAGTCACAGTTGTCGATGCTTTTGTCTGGGTACGGTAATTATCTAACACGAAGTGATGGTGTAATCAATCCGTAGACTTTTATCTTGTTGTATTTTGTTTATAATTGGAAGTCTGTGTGACCCGGTAAAGTGCAGCATCATTTGACGTAACAGGAAATGATGTGCCTATAATGGAAGTTTGGAACATAAAACGGATACATTGTTATTACTTAACTATTGGCAAGTTCATGGGAAAGAATATCCAGTGAAATACTGTATATAGTTTCATTCTTGATCATCCTGCATTGTTGCTGCAGGCGCATTTATGCATGTTTAATCGATCTACATACTCTCTGAAGCAGAATGCTGATGAGTATTAAATCATTCATATCATAACAGTAAATCATTCATAAAATCCAGGTGTGAAAAACATCATTGTTGGTGTTATTATATTGAGCAGATGAACTGTTGTTCATAAAACATGGACACCAACATTTCAGTTGTGACAGGGATGCAATTATTTTTTTGTGACTTGAGAAATGTATAGCTATAGTGTTTTACTTTATCACATTAAGATGCATGTCTAGAAAACTGCTGTTGAAGTTGAAAAATAAAAAGACCACAAAAAATCGTATATGTACACCATGGATTATTAACAACAGATGAAATGAATTACAACAGCTTAAAAATATTCATCACATGGTATGACAGCCTCATCTTTGAAAGTAACGGAAGGGTTGGAGGTCCAATTATGAGTTTTTACTACATTATTGGAATTCTTTCATAGGGTAATAAGGCCCCCCCAAAAAAGGCTCCGGTTTCTGGTATGGAGCTTGCCCAAAAGTGTGTGTGTTTTTTTTTGTACCTGATTTTTTTTGCTTCAAATGTCGGGTGATGACTGCAAATGGTGCCCGACTAAACTTAGTGCAAATATATGGGAGTCCAGAGGCCACATAAAGCTTATTCTCGACCATAACCCAATCTAAAAACACGTTAAAATTGTGCAGCAGCAGGATTCCAGTCAAACCAGTGAGTTTGGCGGTTTTGAGACATCATCTTTCATTGAAAAAAAAACTTTTTCATTTTGCCGGTGCGCGCATACCAGAAACCGGAGACTTTTTTTTTTTTGGCCTAAACAATTTAAATTTGTGTATGCATGTGTATAAAATTTAAAATCTTAAATTTTTTTCATGTTTTTTCCCCAAAATCCCACTGAAACAGCAAAAGTATTGTGCTATGCCTAGAGCTTCTGCGACATTTACATGTACACAATGTACGCATAATTTTGAAACAACAGATCTGAAACTTACACAAATTTTAATCCTTAAACATTTTCAACAATTAAGATCAAACTAATAACCATCCTTAATCTATGATAATTAAGTGAAAACATGACAATAAAAATATCAACCTTTGAACATACCTCTGACAGAATAACACGGCTGTCTTGGCTAACCCTTCTGCCTTTACCCAAGTTGATCCGGGTGAGCTACTTGAACGCACCTTTAATTGAGTGCACTGCCAACAGCGCCCTCTAGCTCTGTTATCCTGGCAACATTCATAACATTTTAACTTCATTCAAGAAAAAAAATCCTGAAAATGAGAATATTTTTTTTGTATTGGACAATGCATCAACGATGAACATTTGGCAAGAACAATTTTTAAATATTTAAAGAACAATATTTCTGGCCATAATCAAATTTTCTTGATTAATTTCTTTTAAAAACAATTATATTAGGCATCTTTTAAAAATTAGAAATTGTGCTTTTGAAACAGGAAAAGTTTTCTTGTGCTAAGAAAAACCTTACACAAGAAAATCATTTTTGGCATTGCTTGAAATTGTGTTCTCACTATAGAAAAATATTCTTAAAATAAGAAAAATATTCTTGCAATTGGAATTTGACTAAAAAAAATAGAACTCACGCAAGAACAATTTTCTTATATCTAAAATTTTAGGCACATGTACCTTTCCAAAACAAAACTTGACATGTTTCTCAGAACAAGAATTATTTTGTTTACTCAAGAATATTTTTCTTGCTTAAGAAAGTCATTTTTGGCTGGGCAGAATGAATACAGAGGAATTGTTACACAAATTATTATTAATACACCATGAACAGGGACAAATTGGTTGACCTTATTATAAATAAGCATCATATAGGCAACTGGAGACTTCCAGTGAAATACAGAATTAGGTGGCATTGAGTTATCAAGTGCGTGTATTCAGTGCCAACTTGATCAGGGTAATAGAGCACTATATGACAAGGCCACCAGTGCAGTATACTTCAACGGCAGCACAGGGGACTGGTTCAGGACGAGAGTTATTCAGTGCTGTGGTCCAATGGTTACGGTGTTCGAATCGTGTGCCGTGGTACATGGGTTCGAATCCTGACCGTGGGAACATGGTGCTTGTGCTCTTGAGCAAGGCACCTTACCATTATTGCTTCGTCCTTTGGATGGGACGTAAAGCCGTAGGTCCCGTGTGTTGTGTAATGCACGTTAAAGAACCCAGTAACACTCATCGCTAAGAGAAGGGGTTTGCCCCGGTGACTACAAATTCGTATCCTTGTGGAGACACACACAATAGGGAACAAAACATTGTAAAGGTCTCCACAGGGCAATTTCTATAGATGAATAGGTCTCCACAAGGTTTTCACGAAATAGATATATGGGTTTTACTCAAAAACTAGGAATTTCCAAGGTGGGTTGATCTGTCGCAAATGGAAGAGTTTTAGAAAAGGGATATTAAGTCCAAATTTCAGCCAAGGAAACTAATTCTGGTTAAAATAAGAGCATTTTGAAACTTCACTTTCAAAATTGAACACTTTACTACACGAGAACAAAGGAATGTCTCCACAAGGATACAAATTTGAGAATGGGTGTTCCTGGCAGTGGCTGCAATGTGCGCCGCAGCACCTTGTAAACCCTTATAAGGTGCTACATAATGGGTCTCATATTTCTCATGAACTTTATTTACCTTTCCTTAATAATAGACATATCTCCAGTGCCTTGAGTACCTAATAGTTGGTAGATACGTGCGCTATATAAGACTCCGATATTATTATTATAATACAGCCAGTCCCATTTTACTCAGGTAGGATGACCATTTAAATCATCCAGAAAGTAACCAACCAAGTTATTGTAAAAAAAAACTAACTTGGTTTAGAGATGTTAATGGCACTAAAACTCCCTGTGAAATTGTCCTTCTGGCATGCTGTCATTTAAAAAAAAAATAATAATAATAAAAGGCCATTCCAAAGTTTTGTCAAGTGAAGAACTTTTTGAAATTTCGATTGACAGTTACAGTTTGTAAATGGGCAATTCCGTGAATGGGTGGATTGCAATTATTAGCGAGAATTGTTGGTTCAGTATGTGACATCACATAGCTACAATGGGCTGATTGAGAATCATGTCTCAAATGCTGATTTTGGGATTGTGTCATGACTCATCTACTGTTGAATTGAGATCAAGAACCAAAATATTGTGTTTTCTCGAAATATACAGCCTTCATAGAGCTAATGTGTCATTAGGTTAGTTGTTAAACACCCCGTCTTTAGATTTTGAGCACTCTCGACGCTTCAAACGATATAAACGCACTAGTGACTAATGGTCTACTGTATTTTTCTCCCGTGAGGATTGGATTACTCGGGCATCATATTAAACGAGAGTTGCTCAGCAGAATTAAAAGATCTGGATCTGCGGTGGCGGCAACTATCTTAATGTAGGGGGATTTCCCCCAATATTGGACACTTATTGTTATAAAGACACCAAGCAGGTCACACATGGAATGCTCATGGGATGGAAACATTATCATTTGAAGTGGTTTTGGCACCTTTATAGCTCAAAATTTGTATCAAGTTAAAAAAAATTTATCTGCAAACAAGTACAATTAAATTGATGATTTGAAAATCTATTGAACTGGATGACATTTGCTATTAAGAAATGTACCAAGAAGTGAAGGGATTGGTGGGTGGCAGTTTAAACAACTAACACTCAGACAACAGATTAAAAGATGAGATTAAAACCTTCAATTATCAAGACCTTAACAATGCTGAAAGTGTTCTTAAATGATGCAACAATCAGATCTGTTCCAAATCCAAACCACAATCACTTTACAGTAATTTTGAAATGAAACAAGTTGGCATTGTGTTTTCTTCTCTTAACTGTTGAATTGGTTGTTTTTTTTCCATTTGTGTGTGTTTAGAGGCAGGAAGCAGTGATGGTTCCATATGCTTGTACGGCCTGACTCAAGGTAAGGGTCCATTTCACTAAACCTTGTAAGTGTATATATCTGGTGACATAAATTTCACGTACTTCGTCCATACTTAGCTACAACCAGTTTGATTTTCTACATTAATTGCTTCGATATGTCGACCAAGAAAGGGAAAGTCAACGATAAGCAGGCTAAAGACATGCCTGCTCACCTGAGAGCTTCGTCCACAGCCTCGGGATTGTCTGCCTGGTACACTTCGCCTAGGGTTGAACAAGTGCAAATAAGTCACAGGCCCCAGCCTCGCCTTGAGCTGATGTGCCATGTGCAGAAAAAATTGAAAGTGGGCTGCCTTGCTCAATTTCCGTCACCAACAAGGGAGTGTCTTCTCACCACATTTCGAAGAAAATACCGCAAGTATCCAGAGCACCACAGGCTGTACATGTGGTAGAAAATGAGCCCTGACAGACCTCACCAAGGTCAGCAGTCAGCAAGGGCCGTCTTTCTTCCCTGGTCAACAATGGAATTTCCCCTCTACAGCAAGCGATGCAAGCAGGCAGCAGTCATTCAATATGAAGGCGCCCATGGCTCCACCGTATGGGTCATTTCCGTGGTTTCAATCTGCACTGCAGGGGCCTTCTAACGCTACCCAGCAGATGTATCATCAACATTGGGGAAATCAACCCCAAGACAACTCTCACTTCCTCTGCCAGCGAGTCCGATCATTTGGGGCAGTAAATTCTGGCCCTGGTGAGAGCACGAATTTGCACTATCGGAGATTGGCAGCAATGCAGAAACTGAATTGGATTTCCTCAATCCGAGTGGATTTTGTAACTCCATGGCAAGGGATCAGTTTTTCCAGTGACGGATCTTAAGTCTTTTAAAAGACTCTCATAATCGCCTGCTCAAAGCAGTTTTGCATCTGACCAAAAGTCGATTTTGGTTACTTGCTCCCCAAGTCCTTTCATCCCACAAAGTATGAACAAATTCGATTTTTGAGCGTGGACACTTATATGAAGTATTTACACGAAACGACTCTTAAGACTCTCATAATCGCCTGCTCAAAGCAGTTTTTGCCTCTGACCCATCTTTTTGATGCTTTGGCGGATTCTTCCTGCCGAGAGACAGTCGACACTCAGTATAGTTAAAGATCATGTCACCTCGGCATTGATAAGCCAGAGTCTGGCTCTGTCAAGACAACATGCCTTTGATGAGCTGCTTGACAAAAGATATTGAAAGCTTCAAATGAAGTTCACCATTGATGAGGTCATCTTTTTTTGTGGAAATTTAGTCAAGGACATAGAGGATGCAGAGAAAGGAAATAAACTGGCAAACAAAGTGACCAAGACTGCAACATCTACTGCAGGGCCATACAAGGGGAATAAGTTTTCTCATTATTCTGCTCTAAACAGAAGATTTTGGGGCAACAAATCTTTTCAAGGGTGATCATCTGGCTATGCTACCGAGCAAAAGTATGCAGCCTATAAATCTGCATCCTCAAGTCATGGTAAATTCAGATTGGAGCAAGGTTTGTTTGATCAGAAAACAAAAAAGTGGATACTACATGTATTCCTTTCAGTTTCAAGACAAGTTGTCCTGAATATTTTGTTTGCAACTGGAAACCCCTTACAAGAGACAGGTGGATACTTCAGTCAGTTGTTCATAAAATAAAATTTGTAGAAGTTCCATTTCAATTATAGCACAGAATACCTCTAACAGAAATGAATTCTTAATCTCAAGTGGAGATTGTTCAGAAGGAAGTTCAAAAGCTAGTTATTAAAGGGGCAGTCACCGTGGAAGAACCGGTGATTGGACAATTTATTTCATCTTTGTTTTCGGTCCCAAAAAAGTTGGGAGAGCTCCCCCAGTGATAAATCTTCGTTCCTTGAATAAGTTTGTTTAAATACAGTAAAGTCTGGCTAAGTGGGCACTCTCGGGACCCCAGAATTTGTGACGACTTACGCCAATGCCGACATCTGCTGTAAGTCGTCATTTTGCCGACTTATGAATGGCTTTTTGGACACATGATTCATTGCACTAATTGGCTTTGATTTACCCTGGTTTATCTCATTAATGCTTGAGTTGAATCCAGCAAATTAATCCTCGAATTGTATCATGACGTTTGATAGTGGAGACCACGTGTAAAAAAAGTAATACAGATGTACATGCACAGTAGGGAATTAAATGCGTGCGTGGTCTGCGCGCACGCATTGACTGCAGCGCTAGTGCTAGTCATTCAATAAGACGACCCCCAAAAATGGACAGAGCACATGCGAACAGACGAGAGGGGGTACTGGTATTGATATGCTCACGATGCATATGCAATGTATGCAGTATGACACTCTTTTTGAGACACCGGTGCATGCAGCAATCACGTGCGTGCCAAACCACTTTTCACTCGACACTTCTTGCCAACTGCAGTACAGGAAGTCGATGCCTATGCGTGATTTTTTTTTTGAATGCCCGACTTACACAAGGATTTTGTAATGCTTTTTATGGAAAGGGGACCGAGAGTAACATGACGCCTTTGAGTGAAATGGCGACTTATAAAAAGCCGACTTTGAAATAAAAAA